CCGGCATCGTAGTCGGCATCATCAGTGAGCCTTGCCATTCTCCGCACCAAGGTACGAACTCGTCAAAGAGTCAAGGAAGATATTGGCTTTGCTCCTCGTTTTTATTATTTGTTTTACTGCTAAGCATGACTATATTAAGGGATAATGGCGATTTATATACATTGAAAACGTCTGTTACTATAGCTTTCAGTAGCACTGGACCACATTAGTATAAGACTAAGTGTTGGATATCTTATCCGTACTCTATTCACATGATAAAGTTTCAAGATCTAGCTCAAACTCCTGCCTTAATGATGAAGGGATGCTGCTCTTAAATAAAAGTTCATTCTATTTAATGTATACACCTATAAAAGGTATCTTGCTTACTGTGAGCACCGTGATGTTCCCGTGGTCACAACTCAAGACTGAATCTATTTGACTATTGCAACAGTCGTTTCTCTCCTACATATAATTTTATGTAGGCTCATAATAGTGTTGCTCATCTGATGCCCTGATAGATGTCGGTAGGTTATTAATCCTCTTAAAGTACTGAGTTTTATAGCGGCTTTGTAGATTTCTGAGATGAGGATATTTGATGTTTGTGCCAAAGGCTATATTTTTTCGTTGTGTCAGGTCCATTAATTAAAATTGAGAGGTTTTTAAAATTACTGTTACTATACACATTACGCACAGTCTTTTTATCTCACTCGTATTTTATGAATGCAGGCAATTCTCTGAATTTTTTTAAGGCGCTGAATATCGGAGACTTGCTTTTTTCCAAAAGCTTATCGGATATACTTAAATTTTAAATTTTGGTTAGATTACTCTTTTCTATCTTCTATATGCTATCTTTTTTTTGTTTATATCAATCATTTATTTTAAATTTTATGGATCCTTTTATGCTATCCGAATGATATCGCAGCCTGACTTTTCTCAATATGGTGACGGACTTAGTAAGATTTTAATTTTTTTATATACAGTTCTTTCCAACGGTAACTTATACCCTATGAATTAATAGAAACATTTATTTCTCTTATGTCCATCTCTAATAGCTCAATTCTATAGCATTTAACAAATTTTAAAAATGATGGAAATTTATATCTTGCTGTCCTACAATTTTCCCCCCTTTTTTCCCGAAATCAACTCAAAGACTCGCGAGTTGATTGAGGAGGTTACTGATCTGCCGGTCATGGTAGAGCTAGCTAGCGACTTTCTGGATCGACAAACTCCCGTTTTTCGTGATGATGTCTGCATCTTCATCAGTCAATCAGGTGAGACTGCCGATACTTTGATGGCACTGCGCTATTGCAAGGCCCGCGGAAGTCTGGCTTTGGGTATGACGAATACAGTTGGCTCAACGATCAGTCGAGAGACACACTGTGGAGTGCATATAAACGCTGGCCCTGAGATTGGTGTTGCCAGCACAAAGGTACTAGTCCTTTTGATCTCACTTAGCCTCTTAGATCTATGGTAAGTTTTCTGCAAGTTAGTTATATTGTAAAAGAAATATTAGTGCGCCTATGGTGGATTAATAGGGTAGTAAAAGCTCAAGTTAGATTATGCCTGAAGAATTACACTTTTAGGTTTAAGAACTATTTCTTGATTAAGCAACTTGCATCTAACATTTGTTTTATATATATATATATATATCTTATCCGTACTCTATTCACATGATAAAGTTTCAAGATCTAGCTCAAACTCCTGCCTTAATGATGAAGGGATGCTGCTCTTAAATAAAAGTTCATTCCATTTAATGTATAGACATATAAAAGGTATCTTGCTTACTGCGAGCACCGTGATGTTCCAGTGGTTATATATATACATATATATATAAAGCAGAGTTATCGTATCGCATTAAACTGATACTAATAGTCGTCATACTCAGATTAGTTTAGCCAAAATAAATTCAGTGCACACATACTGATATACTTATCAGCTTAGTGGACAAAAAATTTTATTTTTTAAAGGTACGTTATAAACTATTTGAGTAAGTTTGGTCAGATAAATTTCACTACAAGCATGGTGTGCTGGTCCGATTATCGCCTGATGTTTGGGTAATATAGATAACTTGGTTATTATAAAGTCAAGCAAACTTGTGCCTTGCCATACCTTTTGTAAAGCGAAATTAAATAAAATTAAATGGCATTGTGAGACATTTACATGCGGAAAAGTTCAACTATTAGTCTTTCATAAACTTATTCTATTTGAGCTGACTAGAGTTCGTGTTCC